ATTTGGATTATTGGTCACAACGAGCTGTGTTCCCAACCTGGTAAAGCTTCAACACACTGTTCCAGCTGCGTCATGGCGACCCTAAGATAATCAAGTCTGGACCAGGCAAACCAGTGACTGAAAGCATCCATACCTTTTCGGCACAATGACGCACGATCGTGGCTAACTTGTAAAATGGAGTAAGTTATGGGTGGTGATGTGATGTATGTACTAACTAAAAAAGTATCTTATAAAGTTCAAGGGGGCACAGGTGGCTCAGTTGTCTTAGGCGTCGCGATTCGTTGTACAGAGTTGCGTCCCTTGGGCACGTCAGAATCCTATGATTGTTGGTTCGAATCCCTGTTCGCCCTGATTATGTTTCTTGGTTTGTCAGCACCATACCGGTGCTCGTGGGTTTCACCGAAGTGATAAACGTCTGAGACCCTCATCACTTCAGGCTTTCCCCATTAAGCTGACACTCCGCTCAGCCATATAACTGGAATACTGTTAAAAGCGGTGTTAAAAACCGAACTCACTTAAAAAGCTCAATAAATATATTCTGAAACTAAATCATGTATGTTTCAATACATATTAATGTAGATATCTCGACTTTAAGGTCATGATTCACAATTTGCAAGTGTATGTTCACTCATGCACATGTTGTTGTTTTTTAAATGTAAACTACTTCCAGTGATTGTTTAGCTATCGGATTCTCATCAAAACACGTTTGTTTACCGTAAATAACTCTTACGCAATGTCTCGGCATGCTTAAAATCAATGTCAGCTTATGTTTGTTGGTTGTCTAACAAGCAATATTCCTGCTAAATTACAGTGGCCTGTAAATAAGCGAGTTGGGACCAGACAATCCAGTGATTAACATCATGAGCATCGATCTGAGATACGATGACATGCATCAACCAAGTCAGCAAGCCTGACCACCCGATCCTGTTAGTCGCCTATTACAGGCATAGTCACCTTTTCGGCAAGCATTCTACCCCGGGATATGCCACAAACAGGAATAACACACACGAAATTGCCAGACATTTCCATGTTCATCGAAACAAATATCATCTCTTTGGAGACGTTATCTACATCAGGGTAACTCTCATAACTTGCAACGTCCACGTATGACGTCACGTCAACAAGACAACCATATTCGGTTTGTGCATCTACGGAATCGATACCAAACTGCCACATTAACAGCTCGGACAATTCCCGTGTTGAAGCCAGTTAGTGGCCTTACACACCCGTTGATAGGAGTGAGTGAGTATGGTTTTACGCCGCTTTTAGCAATATTCCAGCAACATCACGGCGGGGGACACCAGAAATGGGCTTCACACATTGTACCCATGTCGGGAATCGAACCCGGGTCTTCGGCGTGACGAGCGAACGCTTTAACCACCAGGCTACCCGACCGCCCCCCGTTGATAGGAGCACAACATCCAGCCCCAACGTCCAATGATAGGCCCAATTTTGCTTCAATGTCACCTTCAGGCACGCCTTGCTTGGTGTAGACACCGTCCGAGGTTCAATACAAGACTTGGACAGTATCATGTACACAGATGAGTCCAGGTGTCATCTGGACAGCTCTGATGGTCGTGCAAGGGCGTCCAAGAGAACTCTTCAGCGACGCTTGTGTTACTCAACGTCGACAGTTTGGGGCGAAGTGTGATGGTAGGGGATGGCATCACAACTCATGGGAGAACACAATTCATTGTTAATTGCAATTTGAATGGCGGACACTACCGGGACGTCATCGTTTGAGGCCCTGTTCTACCGTAACTTCACTTAAGAGTATAGGGCAATGCCCGCCCACATGTTGCACGTGTTGTGACATACATTTTGAGGCAGCATTGCATTGCTGTACTGCCATGGCCGGCATTTTCTCCAGACCTCTCCCCAACAGAACATGTCTGGGATGGGATAGAACAACGCCAACGACAGGACCGGAACCAGACGGTAATCTCTGGTTGACATTTGGAACAACATCCCCCAAGCTTTTTCAATCATCTTGTGCCTTCAATGCACCGCCGCTGCCTCGCCTTTATCAACGCAAATGGTTGACATTCTCCATTCGGTTGTTTCACCACCCCTATTTTCAACAACATAACATTTACACCACTTGATATAAAACACCGCTACTTTTTCCGTTAGTATATTTGATACAGAATCTACACGATTATTGATGTTGACAGAGGTTACAATACTCTATTTGACATGGAGGTTACATGTTTATGTTGGGAATAGAAGTATTGCCTTAATTTCTGAAATAGGTAATGCGTTTATATTGGCAATAATGTTGGACCATACATTATACCTGAATATGTGTCAACAGTTTAAATTGTGAGCAAAGACAGCCACGTAAAAACAGTTTAAAACTGTCAGAATTGGTAGTCCTCTGCTTAAATACCTAGGACAAAAGTAGTAACAAATATGAAACCAGAAACTATCCCCAATGTTTCTAAATTTGCAAGAATGAATGTAAAGAACATAAATGGAATACACAACAGTTGAAGGTACTTTACTACTTTACACAAAATTTCAACTGAGACTCAAAAACCTAATAATGAGAAAGGGTTTGTTGGTGCCATTCATTTTTTTGTAATTGTTTCTCGAAATATAAGCGATAAATTCCTTATGATTCGAACATAAGGGGAACCATACATAGATTTGAGTATCCTCAAGCAGGCAATTTCTGAGATGTTTACAGACTCGAAACTGCATTTTGAGCGAATTTAAGATCGTTACAGAACATGCTGAGAAGAAATGGCTAATCGGCGGTCTTGAAGTAGCTATTTAAGTACGACTGATGTGGCGGTCATATTAAATATCAGATTCAAACCCCTTGAACATGTTCAGATTGGTTCTGTGGTTTCTGCGGAGATGTTTTCAGTGCGAGGATGCATTTTGAGAGAATGTTTGGGCATGGTCCAAAGTACAAAGGTCAAACCAAGGTCAAGATGTTTGGGCCCCTCTACTAACAGATAATTGTGTGGTTGCCATATTGAAAATCAGATTCGAACCCCTTAGACAAAGGGGTGTGTCAGCTTCATTCGTCAAATGGCTTCTGATAAGACTAAGTTTATGACGGATGACTCATGATTTTGTGTATTTTCAAATGTGGCCACTGACAGCAATATTTGTTTTCCGATTAAGATGTCTTGAGCAAACTTAGTATTACAGAATGTGAACATCTTGCCCCCCAACTTTCATATTTTGTAATGTTTCTGGTTTTTAATCAAAGATGGCTTCCTAACGGCAATTTGAAATGTAGAAGCCTTGAACGCCCTTATTGTAACAAACGCCCATACAAAATGTATGATCTATGAACGTGCTCTATAGGTTTTTGTCCGTGATCAACATTCTGCCTGTGTAGAGTGGAAATTTGTGATGTGCTTTGGGGATGAGTGTAAGTAGGACTCACGCTACAGTTTCATAGTTAATTATTAGATGGTATTCAGGATTCAGTGGAGGAAGCGGTTGGCACCCTCCTTTTTCGGTTTTCAATTCTGGAGTTTTGCTCACTCAGCCTATGTCAGTATAACACGTACATTACTATATTTGACATCAGACAGATAGACGGTCTGTCTGTCTATATTTAACATCAAAATCGACCATCCTATGAATTATATCTCCATTCTATATAATGATAAATACCCTTGGACCATCCACCACCGTATGGTACTAATGGAACAACTATTTGATTTTGAGAGAGGGGGTCGGGATTTTATGACAACAATAAATGTCTGTATATGGCTACAAACCCTACATCGATAATATGTCATGGCGCATACAATGTTAGTAAAAAGTCAGATGAAATAGATAAGTATCAAGTTGAAAAATATTTGTTGGCACTGTCCTGAGATAGTTTGGGCACGGGTGGCCCAGCCGTTTAAGGCGCCGCGATTCGCTGCGCAGAATTGCGTCCCTTGGGCACGCCAGAAACCTATGATTGTGGGTTCGATTCCCGGTTCGCCCCGATTATGTTTCCAGGTTTGTCAGCACCATACCCGTAACAACAATAGTGAGTGAGTGAGTATGGTTTTACGCCGCTTTTAGCAATATTCCAGCAATATCACTGCGGGGGACACCAGAAATGGGCTTCACACATTGTACCCATGTCGGGAATCGAACCCGGGTCTTCGGCGTGACGAGCGAACTCTTTAACCACTAGGCTACCCGACTGCCCCTGTGACAACAATAAATGTCTGTATATGGCTCCAAACCCTACATCGATAATATGTCATGGCGCATACAATGTTAGTTAAAAGTCAGATTATACATAGATAAGTATCAAGTTGAAAAATATTTGTTGGCACTGTCCTGAGATTGTCTTGAAGTTTGTTCCACTTCATGGCAGCTGCTGTGGTTTGAGAAGAGCATTATTTTTATTGTTAGGAGCTCAATTTTGTTTTCCAAACAAAAACGGGTGCTCATTTATTTTTAAATAAATATTTATATGTATTAAATAATTAGATTTAAAGTAAATAAAAGTAACGAACTGTGTTCTTTGGACATTTGCCCGGATAAAAGGGCACATTATTTCTTTTCCTACAATGCGTGCCACATGTAATTATGTCAACCAAGAGTTGATTATATTCTATAGTCTGGTCACCAGTAAAATATAAGCCAACTTGTCTTTTGGAAACGCTCTTGATCCATCTTACATTAATTAAAAGGGATCTTTTGTGTAAGTATCATAAATTGGTAAAAATGCGACTGAAATAAGTGACCCCACTTGTCATAACAGGCCCTTTTATCAACAAAATCCCACAAGGAGAATTTTGCTCAACCCTTCCAATATCATACAGCTTTCTGGAATAATTGCTGCGAAACTGAATTTAGAATCGATATAATTTTAAATACATCTTGTCTTTTGACTTCTGCTGAGAAACGCTATCTACGAGTGTGCATAACGTCAACCAATCAGTGTTGTAAGGGTTTGTGTATGGTATATTGCAAAGTGGTCCGGTTAAAATGTATTATTGAGAGTTCCATGTATTTGACATTTCCGGTGTCAACGGAAATAGGACAAGATCATCCGTCAAGTCTGACATCAACACATAGAACGGTGTGATGTAGAAGCCAGTAGAAGGTATATATTTTCGAACTTGATAGATATAAAAGTATTTCTTGCCGTTTGTTTGGAAACTGTCATGAATGACAACCGTGGCACAAGCTCCGAGCATTAGGGCTGAAGGGGTCGTCGGCATGGCTAATACACGATTGTCCAGATACCTCGGGGTATCGCGGTACTTGTTATGTACGCTAAACGGGACAAAATGCACTCACTAACCTTTATGATTATTCGTGTTCTCTATATCAGATGTCATTTATTTTATCTAACAATGCATATTTTACAGATACAAGTTCATTATTTACATTAGTAGCCCCGAGTAAAAGCCGGGCCTCGCGCTCTGTTTGACAAGGGAGAGAACTCCATCGTATCGCGGTACAGGAGGTCCGATGGACCAAAAGAGGACATAATTCTACCAACCACTGAGTAGGATGATACCAGGCTTCAGTGATTTGTCCAGATAATTGCAAAGACGGCACAAGTAAAATTCTAAATGTGTAATTAGTAATATGTATTGAATGCATATTTACCGAAAAGTAAGAACAAAATATTTGTAAAAAATCAACAACGAAATATCAGAAAACATATTTTAAAATATTTGTTATAAAAAATTGGATGAAAATAATGTGTCCGAAAAAGTTGAAAAAAGTTAACAATAAATATATAAAAAGCACTCCTAGTATGCTAAAAGTACCTTCGGACCTTGTGGTACTGCGGCATTCATCGTATTGCGGGATTTTACCTCAGGCATCTTTTTTGATATTGCCCTACCCCCCCACATCTATCAATGGTCAATGATATAACCCACAGTTACTCAAGTAAACTTTCATTTGGCTACTAGTACTAATGAAAAACATATTTTTAAGTATGGCATTATGGCCATTATGATCTAATAGATTCTGGCCACAGTGTGGGAAAAATGTGCATCACATGCTTTGAAGTTTTAAGTACCTTTACCCAAATTTACTCAATGTCAATTAACTCAGAATCTGGCAGAAATGTCAAGAAATTGGACTACAGGAATACTATATATTTAATATTTATTTTAGTAAGTAGGAAATAAATAGTAATTTTATTGCTATTTCATAGATATCTCCCCTTTCTGCTGGCAGCCGACATGTTTCAAGATTGCCCAAGGAAAACATATATACTACAAGATATGAACATTATAAAGCATGTAAATATAGCATATATACTACTACATAAATCATTCTTATCGTTATTAAAATTAAAGGTGTCGTTTTCACACGACAATTAGTAGCCATTTTTTCCAAATGAGGTGCCGTTTTTGGCCCAAGAAATTGGTGCCATTTTGCTGAGGTGCCGTTTTAGCCTGCACCCTGGGTAAGGTACCCGTATTAACAATTTAATCCAATTTAATGGGAAGAAAGTCCATACAATTTGTATGGCCTACCTTTAGAATTCAGCACCACAAAAGTTTACAAACACGTCTGTAATTTGTGAAAATTTGTGACAAAACACACCGGCAAAACTATGCCCTGTGACGTCAGCCGAGCATTTGAGTGTGCATAAGCTGCTCTCAGTGATCTCTTATCTCCACACGTAATGATCATTAGGGTTAGGTACCCACTTTGTGGTACCCAGTTTTTGTGGCAATGGCTTCACTGATTGTCTTTGCTTAGGGTTAGTTTATTGTGTTCGGATAGGTTACCCTGAACTCTATCTTTAGCCCTTGTATACCTCTTTACGATCCGTCACCCCTTTACGACCCGTCACCCCTTTAGATCCGTCACCCCTTTACGACCCGTCACCCCTTTAGATCCGTCACCCCTTTACGATCTGTCACCCCTTTACGATCTGTCACCCTTTTACGATCCGTCACCCCCTTTACGATCCGTCACCCCTTTACGATCCGTCACCCCTTTACGATTATTAGGGTAACGTAGCCGTGTTGTGCAGTGGAACTAAATATTTTTTAAGTGTGGTTTTATTTAAATGAAAACTCATTTAAATTTGAATGACTTTTTAATTGGTTGTTATCCCAATTGCATGAATCGATGCTCATGATGTCAGTCGCTGGTCCCGACTCGATTATTTACAGACTGCCGTCATGTAGCTGGAATATTGCTGAGTGCGGCGTTAAACAACAAACAAACAAACAAAAATGTGTTCAGACAAGCATCTGATTTGTGTATTTCAAAAACAGATATATAATCAGGGTCTTGAGACTGCCCAAAATTATAGCAGTGCCATTATTTTGTGGTGGATTTATTTTCGCTGTTGTTTTTTTTGCGACATGGCACTGAGATCCAAAAGAAGGTCAGATTGATGAAATATTTGTGTTAGGTTTGGGTTTTCATTTATTAAAATAGTGATTTGAAATTGATGTAAAGATATGAAGCCAACTATGATTGGGTCAAGAACCGACTCAGTCTGCATCGCGATTGGGCAGCCAAATCAGGGCTCATCTTATGCGACCGTCCATGAAATGTCCTCAGCAAATGATGCAGGGAGGTATCGTATGGGAGAGGAGAAAAAGATCTGCTTCTGAATGATATTAGTACACACCCAGTCAACTTTAACATGATCAGTAATAGTGAGAACATAAACCACATATTATTTTCGACCGCCTCCGTGGTCTAGTGGTAGAGCGTCCGCCCGGAGTGCGGAGGGTCCGGGGTTTGTTCCCCGGCCGCGACATACGTAAAGACGTTAAAAGATTGTACTAGTTGTTACCCTGTCTGGCACTCGGCATTAAGGGGCTAAAACAAGGACTGGTCGGCTCGGAGTCAGTATACTGTGTCTGAGTGGGGTATTCATGTTAAACTGCGGCATGGTATCTCAGTGAGCTAGCACTATAAATCTGCATCAGTCCGGACTAGTACAAGCAGCCACACACACACATACACGTGCAAGCACGTCGCTATATAAGTGCAATAATCTTGGACGCGACGTTAAACCCAATTTCACCTCACCTCACCTATTATTATTTTCAGACAATATGGCCTTTAACCGGTTTCCAGGTCCCAGGCCTGGTGTAAACTTTATGATGGGTCCATCTCCTAACACAGCCACCATACCAGTGCCCAGGGGCAGTATGTTCCCAGTAATGGCTGGACCTCCAGATCAAGCTCGGCAAGGGAAGCACTTTATGATGAGACGAGATCATATGAACCTTAACAATAGCAGTGAGAGAGACACTGGGTACTGGAAGGGGGATGACATGGACAGGGAGTCTCCGGATAGAAATCCTCACTTGGACAGAATGCCTCGTAAGAGGAGACTTGGTGAGTGCCAGTAGAATATGTTTAGTTTAACCGGTGATTAGCATGCTGAAAACTATATTTTTTAAGACGTTTCCTATCTAACAATGTGCATATCTTCTTTTTTCTCGATCCTTGTGTGGATATGATCCCCCAAATGGCTTTTCCAGCATCAAAAAACACCTAGCACAAACACACCCCAGCTGTTACCATGGCTACTATCACTAACAATGGTCTGTGCATTGCTTGATACCTGCGCAACTTAATCACATGATGTCCCTAGCTTACTGGGGGCACGTGTGGCCCAGTCGTCTAAGGCGCCGTGATTCGCTGTGCAGAGTTGCGTCCCTTGGGCACGCCTGAAACCTATGATTGTGGGTTCAAATCCCGGTTCGCCCCGATTATGTTTCTAGGTTTGTCAGCACCATACCCGTGCTCGTGGGTTTCACCGAAGTGATAAACGTCTGAGACCTGCATCACTTCGGGCTTTCCTCCCACATTAAGCTGACACGCTGTGATATAACTGGAATACTGTTAAAAGCGCGTTAAACCCAACTCACTCACTCACTCACCCTAGCTTACTCTTTCTCTTTCGTGGAGAGTTACAGTCTGGTGTAAAAGTATCTGCAGTGTTTTATTGTACGATAAACAACTCCCACTTGTTGTTTATTTAAATACTGTAATACGATAAGAAGCAGGCATCACACATACATGAATTCTGCTGCAGTGAATACTACACAAATTGAAGACAGCATTTTAAGCAAAATTATATTAAATGGGTATCATTGGTTCATAAATACCCAACAGACTCGAACATTTTGACTATCCAAAGAAACCTACACATACCCAGTGTGATTGATAACATGGAAGTAAATACTCAGAACAGACCAGGCTAAGACAGATATGTAACAGTGTACCCAGTGAAGATCCGGGGTAGAATAGGTCTTCAGCAACCCATGCTTGCCGTAGAAGGCGACAATGCTTGTCGTGAGAGGCGACTAACGGGATCGGGTGGTCAGGTTTGCTGACTTAGTTGATGCATGTCATCGTATCCCATCTGCGTGGATCGATGCTCATGATGTCAGTCACTGGAGTGTCCGGTCCAGACCACCATCATGTAGCTGGAATATTGCTTTAAACAGCAAACAAACAAACAAACAAACAAGATCAGCTGATGCAAGTCCACATGCAAAGAACTAAGTCTACTGCAAATACTGCCAAGATACAATTATAATCAAATAAACTCAAATGTTTTTGGCACAGTCTGCAGCGCACTATATTTAAGTCTGTCAATATAACAGAAAACCTGGAGTATATCAAGACCACCTCAGGGACTGGTAATTTATTATTATTAGGGAGGGCTTGTCGGTGTGATGAGGAGGGAAAACACAGCAAACATTTTCACACCTTGGGTGTGCAGGGGAGGTGGCACAAACAATAAAGTTAGAAATTTGAAACATTATTTAGGAACTGGAACCATTGTCCGTGCGTGTCATTGACAAGTGTTCATGTACATGTATGAGGGGTAGGAGGTGGCAGAAACAAAATGATACGTGGCGGCACGTGGTCCTATGCACAGCTCACAGGTCACAAAGCAGGTGAAGTTAAGCAACGGCGTACGCGGTGAGTCCTTGGATGGGGACCGTGTTCGGCAGCTTGGCTCCTCAAGAGTTATTAGGGCTTCGGTCCTGCCCCACACTTAAGCACATGTTCCACATGTGGTGTCTCCTTGTGCCTGTGTTCATCCAGCAGTGAATGGGTACCCGGTAGGATGTGATTGCAATGTGGTTGTTAAGCTTCTAGCACCTAACAGTCAGCTTGGGTTGTATACTCCCCAGGGAGCTGAGAATGATTGTTGAGAGCACACTGATCCAGTGACCGGTGTAATAATAGCGTTTTGAGCAATCCCCTGTGTGGTGCAGCAATATGCGCAATATAATTTGCCTGTTGTTGATGTTGTTGTTGTTGTTGTTGTTATTGTTATTGTTATTGTTGTCCTAAGTCCTTTGACCAATCCCTTTCTTTTCCCCCACCCCCCACCCCCACTCCTGATCACTGGTATTATGAATTTTCCAAAGAAAAGATTTAGAGCATGCTGTACATCATGGTACATTATTTTCTTTATATCTCAGAGAGAGGGGGTGATCTTGAGAACCTGCCAGCCCAACAGATGGCGGTATTTGATTACCATCACAAAGCAAGAGATTCTGACGAGGAGATTGTTGAGAGAGAAGAAAACCGGTATAGTCCACGCAGTATGCGAGACGAAGGAGATGGAGAGCCTAGTAAAAAGATGTGCTACAGTGAAGATGTTGGGCAAGCTGCATTTGGAAGGGCAAGAAACGTACCAGACAGGTATGAAAACAAAATCAGACATGGTGTTGTAAAACTAAGCGTTATCATTTTTGCTCATCTGGACCAAAGCTTCACGTAAGCTTATCATGGCGTGTATGTTAGTCTTTTGTGCTGCTATCCAAAAATCACTAGTCCATTGGTTCCTGCCATCCATTTCTTAGCACGAGCCTCGTGAAGTCTCGGGTTAGAATTGGTGTTCAGCATCTTATGCTTGTCATAAGAGGATCTAACTGGATCGGGAGGTTAGGCTCTGTGACTTGGCAAATGCATGTCCTGGATGGATTGTCTGGTGCAGACTCGATTATTTACAGACAGCTGTCATATACGTGTAGCCATCTTCAGTGTTCGCGGTAGGTTTTTGTACAGTGCGTGCAGAAATGAAATAATAAATTTTCAATTCAAATATTTCACGTGTGAAGTTTTTATTTCAATAAAATCAGTACTAGTACAGCTAATAATTATGACCAAGCTTTAACTTACGGTCCAGTTTTGATATAATGAACGCTCTATCATTAATAGAATAAATATGACTGTTGTTAGCACATGCCCATGTGTGGAAGTTTTCTTCCGTCGCTCTGTTTATGATCGTTCGTATTACCGACTATTACTTGTAAGCTGGGCTCTGATTGGATGAAACGAACGACTTCTGGGGAATTCCATCGATAGTAACGAATGACGTCCTGTGTCTGAGATTAGTTATTCTGTTGCCCAAAGAAAATTTTTTGAAATATAAAGCACGCGATTCAAAGCGCCATCTGGTCACATTCTATTTTTAGCAATGGGAATTTCCAGGTTTTGATTTATTTTCGTCTGAACATTGTAAGCAGGCTATCAGCTTTGAATAGTTTTTTGTTTTTATGGTATTAATACAGAATTAAGTATAACACAATCTGTGCGTGCAAAAGACGCATGCAAAATATTTTTGCGTGTTTATATGATTTTAATGCGTGAAAAATGCAGGTTTCTGCGTTAACGCGAACACTGCATCTTCCCAAGGCAAGAGAGTTAAATGACTCTAAAAGTCCAGTTTCCAACCTAGCCGAAATTAGACTGAAATTATGGAGTTATATTTTGGCTGGACTAACAAGTCCAATCAAAATAGCATAACGAAATATTCTTCGATTTCAATGTGCAGATTTGGGTTGATTTGCAAAGGACGTTTACCATCAACTGGGCATCAGCAGATATTTTGCAAATCTTTTCATGTTTTTAAAGAAGATGCTCGCGTGATTTGATGCACTTCTCGAGGTGAGTTAGTCAGTTAACTCCCTTGCCTAGGGAAGATGACATGTGGCTGGAATATTGCCGAGTGTGGAGTAATATGACAAACAAAACTAGTTTCAGGTCTTAAACTCTGATACAACACCTCTGCGTGAAGATCTGACTACTCACCAATAGGAACAAGTACCATCCAAGTATCTTTGTGTTCTGTTAAGGTTTTGTAGTGTACAAATCGAAATTTGCGAATCGAGGTGATAAACAAATAAAGGGGAACTTTTGTGAAAAGATGATGTTTGATGGCTGAAGAATTGTTTGGGACTGGTAATTGATTATGGAGAAGGTAGGGGGTGGAGATTGGTCTTGGGATTGTGTCATATTTTGATGACCCCCCCTATATATATGTAACATTTTTTGGTGACCCCTCTCCCCCAAACACATCAGCGTGTTTTCATCATTTGTTTCCACACCTCATCACACACACTCACTCACACACACACACACACACACACACACACACACACACACACACACACACACACACACACACACACACACACACACACACACACACACACACACACACACATAAATGAGGGGCGGTTGGGTAGCCTACTGGTTAAAACGTTCACTCGTCACGGGTTTCATTCCCAACATGGATACAATGTGTGAAGCCCATTTCTGGTGTCCCCCGCTGTGACATTGTTGGAATATTGCTAAAAGCGGCGTAAAACCATACTCACTCACTCACTATAATAAATGGCCAGTTCCTAAATTGTCCATTGTACCAATGTGGGGTATCGAACCCAGGCCTTTCGCTGTGACGAGCAAACGCTTTATCCACTAGGCTTCCCCATCGCACACTTACATATTTCACTTAGATTTGGTGGCCTAAATTTGCCTAGGGCTAACCTGCATGACCAGGGGCGGTAGGGTAGCCTAGTGGTTACAGCGTTGGCTCGTCACGCCGGGTTTCATTCACCACATGGGTACAATGTGTGAAGACCAATGTGATATGCTGGAATGTTGCTAAAGGTGACTCACTCACTCACACTCACTCACTCACTCACTCACTCACTCACTCACTCACTCACTCACTCACTCACTCACTCACTCACTCACTCACTCACTCACTCACTCACACACACACACACACACACACACACACACACACACATGACCACCTGTGGAGATAGATGTTGTACTGGAGTATCAGATCTGGTTTTAATGACATTGTATCTGTTTTATATTTATCCGGTTTGCAGTCACTGAATAATTCTGTCAAGTTGCCCTCATGGGATATTCTTAAAAATATGGTTTCTTCAGGTTTCTTGGTGGGGCACCTCCAATCGATGGGAGTGGTGGTGTGATAAAATCCATCCTGAAACAAGACCAGAAGAGTAAAAGAGAAGACAGAGGAAAAGAAGAGAGGGGGAAAGAAGACCGGGGAAGGAAAGACAGGGGAAGAGGAGACAGGGGAAGAAAAGACAGGGGAAAAGCAGACAGGAGTAGGGAAGACGATGGACACGATGATGCGCTTATGAAACATGCAGCAGAAGTGTTTGGCTCCTCGCATCAGGGGAATAAGCATCCGACCAAGAACACGCCAAGAGATGCAGCAAGACATGGTCCCACTTCCACCTCAGAAGAGGAGTATAGGCTTAGGAGGTCACTGCGGTCTCCGGAAAGAAGATCCCCATCGAGGTCCTTAGAGGGGAGATTGTCATCTAGGAGGTCACCTGATCTACATTCTTCTTTTCATAGAGAAGATGATTTGACAATGAGTAACAATCCGAGAGATTCATACATGCACTCTCCAGACAGAAGTCAATACGATGATAGAGATGACAGGCCTGAGAAACGAAATATGGGCCATTTTTCTGGTAGAAATTTTAGAAGTGAAAGAAATTCACCTGGTAGAAGAGAACTGAGACAATCACCCAATCGGAGCTTCAGGGATGAACGACGATCACGAGATAGAGATTCAAGACTAGATAGAGATTCAAGACTAGATAGAGATTCAAGACAAGATAGAGATTCAAGACAAGATAGAGATTCAAGACAAGATAGAGATTCAAGACTAGATAGAGATTCAAGACAAGATAGAGATTCAAGACTAGATAGAGATTCAAGACTAGATAGAGATTCAAGACAAGATAGAGATTCAAGACTAGATAGAGATTCAAGACTAGATAGAGATTCAAGACAAGATAGAGATTCAAGACTAGATAGAGATTCAAGACTAGATAGAGATTTAAGACAGCAGTCTCCTAATAGACATTTTAGAGATGACAGGCATTCTCTTGAACGAAGAGATTCCCCAAACAGACGTTTTAGAGATGATTTAAGTCTCTCACCAGATAGAGTCTTTTGGGATGACAGACACTCGCCTGATAGAAGCTACCCACGTGACGGATATTCTCCGATCAGCAGCAACAGGGATGAAAGACTGTCAACTGACAGAAGTTTGAAAGATGACAGCCGATCTTCTCGAAGAAGAGGATCATTAGACCGAAATGTTAGGAAGGATTCAAGCCCCTACAGCTCCTCATACAGACATAGAAGCGATGATAGGGGCGGTTCCCAATCCAGGAGAGGTCGGTTTGGTAGTTCAGACAGATACGTTGGAGCAGTAGATGCTGGAGAAGGGTTATCTCTACTTCACAAAGATCATGGTCAAGACCATCGCTCAGACGACAAAGGTGGTGATAAGACATGGAAATGTGTTGGGGTATGTCAAAATTTATTCATGATTTTGGGGTATGTTGTAATTTAATCATAATTTTAGTGCAGAGTCAAGTTTTTCCTCATGTCAGAAGGGGGGCGGTCGGGTAGCCTAGTGGTTAAAGCGTTGGCTCGTCACGCCGAAGACCCGGGTTCGATTCCCGACATGGGTACAATGTGTGAAGCCCATTTCTGGTGTGCCCCGCCGTGATATTGCTGGAATATTGCTAAAAGCGGCGTAAAACCATACTCACTCACTCACTCACTCACTCATGTCAGAAGGGACCCGTGAAGATTCCGGGGTAGAATAGGTCTTCAGCAACCCATGCTTGCCGTAAAAGGCGACTATGCTTGTTGTAAAAGGCGACTAACGGGATTGGGTGGTCAGGCTCGCTGACTTGGTTGATGCATGTCATCGATCTCAATTGCGTGGATCGATGCTCATGATATTAATCACTGGATTGTCTGGTCCAGACTCGAATTATTTACAGACCGCTGTTATATAGCTGGAATCATGTCAGAAGGCACAGATTGCCCATTGGTTTAAGGAGTCTTTGCAGAGTTGTGTCCCTTATGTGTGCAAGGATCCTGTGACTTTGTCTGAACGACAGATTTGCACTGATTGTGATAGTTGGTTTGTCGGACCAATATCGTGTCTCCTGGGTTTCATCAAAGACCTGCATCACTTTTTGCTTCCCTGATATATTTAGCTGCTATGCTTTGATATCTTTGAAAATACCATTCAACATGTTCAAAGCTCCATTTTAGTTTAAGCCGAACTGATTTTATGGTTTTAACATGAGACAGGAAATGTTTTGAGTTAACTGAAATAATCAATCAGATTATAGATTTTGTATTCATTGTTTAATTCATTGTATATTTTCAGTGTGGATTAAACAACTTTATTTCTCGGCTCAAGTGTTACAAATGTAAAAAATTTAGAGGTAAGTTGCTATTCTTATTCCACCCTTGAAGATTCAGGTTAGAATTAGTCTTCAGCAACTCAAGCTTAATGTATGAGGTTACCAATGGGATTCACTGGCCAGGCTTGCTGGTACAGATTTGATTAATTAGAAGCCATAATACCGTATTTGACTTAATAAGCCCCCTGCTCTAATAAGCGCCCACGGCTAGTGAACAGTCCCAATTAGCACCACTTCCGATTGATCAATGTACACAAGACTTATTTATTTGTATATAATACGCACTTATGTGTTATATGCACCCTTAATTATGGGCAAGTAAATACTGAAAAAATATATCTATCGTTATAATACGCACAGACTTTTCTTTTGTATCATTTCAGGCTGTCAGCATAAACCACAAAATTAACGATATTTCAACAGGCATTTTTTTCACCAAAAATTTATTCTAATAAGAGCCCCCTATTTCTAATTTTAAGAGCACCCTGGGTGCTTATTATGTCAAATACGGTACACAGATTATCTCACCAGTCTTTCGATATCTCCTATATCAACACACTGTAGTAGATTGTAGGCATTCCGCTTTTGTCAACAATAATCCTTCCCTGTCAATGTATAATTGAGGTTCGTTTGTGAAGGATAAATCACGACTCCAAGGTTATGGTTGAGGAAGTAGGAACGAGGCAAGAGGGTATCGGCAGTGTGAGACCGAGGAGGAGTGTGTTATCTCACTTATGTACCGCCTAAATAACAGAAAAAAAATAAGGAAACATCTTACAGGAGATATCTTACAGTGTGTGTCGCGGTATAAAGGGAATGCAATCAAAGCGTGCGAGAGAAGAAACGTGCAGCATAGACAAAACTAAGTCATGACATCTAAAATTGAACATTCTAGCATCATGCACCGGTGGCTCAGTTGAAAAACAGTGGGTTACAAAACTTAACACAATATGTGAGGTTGCAGGTTCGATTCCCGCCATCCACAATGAAAAAGTTTTATTTCTTGTCTTTGATTTTAGAACAGTGGACATTTGAAACACTAAGTCCAAATTCCATCTGCTCCTCAAATTATCAGGTCTTACTTGCAAAAAGTAACCCCTCATACCAGGTCTTACCAGGAGAAAAGTAACACCTCACATCCGGGATGAGGTCCTACCTGGAAAAAGTAAAACCTCACATCCAGGATGAGGTCCTACCTGGAAAAAGTAAAACCTCACATCCGGGATGAGGTCCTACCTGGAAAAAGTAAAACCTCACATCCAGGATGAGGTCCTACCTGGAAAAAGTAAAACCTCACATCCAGGATGAGGTCCTACCTGGAAAAAGTAAAACCTCACAAGAGGTTATTACGTTATGGATATAAACTTCCCCCTCGGTCTTGACGGGGAATGTAAGCCGAGGGAGGAGGGAAATAGTGGAGTACAATGTGTGAAGCCCATTTCTCGTGTCCCCCGTCGTGATATTGCTAGTATATTGCAAAAAGTGGCGTAAAAACATACTCACTCGCTCTGGCCTGTGGATTCTGACTTGATTCTATGTTTTTGTAAGAAGCAACTGCTTGGATTGTGCAGTCAGCCTCGGTGACCGTGTTGACCTCGTTGAATGTGTGTCAAGTACCCAGACTGTGTTCATAACATCAACCACTTGTTTGTCCGTCCCAAATTCATTTGTTTACCTGTATTGAATGTGTGGTATCTTATCATAAAAGGCAAAGTGGATCTGGCTCTCGTATGTTGCATGTTCATAGAAACCAAATATCAGATAATATACTATACTTCTGTTCATTTCTTTCAGTGAAGACTTTAGAAGAAACCACGGATGATACCACGTCTTATCCTCCAGGGGTAAGTATGAGTAAATGGGTGAGAATATAGATCCCAGCAACCAGTATTTCAGGTGGGCTCAAGAAACTCTGATCACAGAGGGGCATGGGAGGTAACTCCAGGTAACTCCAGGGAGCAGTCATTGGGATACTTCTTGTTTAAGAACTTTATTTATATCAAGAATACAATCTTCGTAAGTCTTCATTCCATAGATACTTCGACCAGAAAGCAACAAAAAGCATAATGTAAAGAAGGCTAAGTATTACATAGAGAAAATATTTTGATATTCTAATTTATGTCTGTATATTAATATTTGGGCAAATGTATTCAGAATATGTGAATCAGTTATGTTGTAGTCTTTAAAATTTTCTGAATACATTTACTCTAATATTCATATAATATGTTAACTTTAGGCTGCCAATCCAAGGAAGACCCCAGATGAATGTAAGAAGAGGATCCATGTGTCTAACTTAGCTATGGACACGTCAGCTGAAGATCTGTACAACACCTTCTCAGAATGTGGAAAGGTTATGTTTGCCAACATCGTTGTCAAGCGAGGGAGTAAAAGGTAAATCTGTGGATGTCTTAAGGCATGGATCGGGTGGTCAGGCTCGCTGACTTGGTTGATGCATGTCATCGATCCCAATTGCGTGGATCGATACTCATGATATTAATCACTGTATTGTCTGGTCCAGACTCGATTATTTACAGACCCCCGTCATATAGCTGGAATATTGCTGAGTGCGGCGTTAAACAACAAACCAACCAACCAAACAATCTACCACCTGCATCACTGGGTGCATTCCCCCCACATTGAGATGAGATGCAGTGATTGAACTGAAAAACTGTCCAAAGCAGTTTTAAACCAAACTCACTCATTATGCTAAGAATCGCTGGATTGTTGGATCCAGACTCCATCATTTACAGACCACCATCATACAGCTTGAATAAAGCTTGAGTGTGGTGTTCAACAAACATTCAGCTCAAATGTGCGCTGCCCGTACTTTTTTAAACTAAGGAGGGTCCATGGGTCCTGGGGTCCTTGAGGTTTGCTCCAATGGTATTCATTCTGAGGACCCAGGGTCAAACTGACGTCATGAAAGCTAAACGCCATTTGCCTCAGCCTCTATTATGGTGGACATATTGAATTCAAGATGTCCGACATTGTCTAAATGATAAAATAAGAATTTTAAGTGTACTAAACCATAGTAGGTTTTTTGAGAAATGAAGATACAGACAAGAACAAAAGCAAAAAAATATACTTTAACATGTACTTTGAGAAATGTCCGGGTCCAATGCAATTCCTAATGGACTGTAAACCTTTTAACATTGGTGCAATAGCAAGGACCCCATGACTCTCGTGCTTCATGTTGAACACTGTCTGCCAAGTGTGTTAAGTTAGTGTTTTCTTTTGTATGATTTGATTTGGAAGTGTGTCGGTTAAGTGTTGATATTAAATGAATGATAATTTCGTGTAAGGTGCTTTAATGTGCAGAATTGTGTCCCTTGCGCACACCAGAGACCTCTGATCGTGGCTTCGAATACTGTTTGCCCTTATAATGTTTCTAGGTTTGTCAGCACCACACCCATGCTAGTGGGTTTTACCAAAGTGGTAAACATCTCAAAACCTGTATCTCTTCGGGCTTTCCTCCCACATCAAGCTGACACGCTGTGATATAACTGGAATACTGTTCAAAACAGCTTTACGCCCAATGCACTCTCATTTATCTAAGACCTAATTCATTTTGTGCCCCATTCACACAATGTCATTTAAGGCTGCCATGTTGTTGTTTTTTGTATGGCTTCATGAGAAGTGTGTCAATTAAGTGTTCATATTAAATGCATGATACTTTCTGAGAGTGACTGCCTCCATGGTCTAGTGGTAGAGTGTCTGCCCGGAGAGCAGAAGGTCCTGGGTTGGATCCCTGGTCGCGTCATACCAAAAGACGTTAAACGATGGTACTTGTTTTTACCCTGTCTGGCGCTCGGCATTAAGGGGCTAAAACAAGGACTGGTCGGCTCGGAGTCAGTATACTGTGTCTGAGTGGGGTATTCATGTTAAACTGCGGTATGGTATCTCAGTCCGGACTAGTACAATCAAGCCCCCCCACCCCCCCCACACGTGCCTGCACATCGCTATAAAAGTGCAATAATCTTGTATGCGGCGTTAAACCCAACTTCACCTCACCACCTTTCTGAGAGCTGACTGACACCAATCACTTTCTTCTGTTGAATCAGGTCGAAGGGGTATGGATTTGTGTCCTTCAACAAGGCCAGCGAGGCAGCAAATGCTGTCACCAAGCATTTCCGAATCAGGGGAAATCGTATTTTTTCTAATCCTGTTAAGTTTACGGAGGTGAGTAACCGTTGCCTCCTGTGTGGCAAATACACCCAGCATGGTTCAAACAATCCACATTTGATAGAGACCCGTGAAGATCCGGGGTAGAATAGTTCTTAAGCAACCCATGCTTGCCGTAAAAGGTGACTTTGCTTGTCGTAAAAGGCGACTAACGGGATCGAGTGGTCAGGCTCGCTGACTTGGTTGATGCATGTCATCGATCCCAATTGGGTGGTCAATCATGATGTCAATCACTGGATTGTCTGGTCCAGACTCGATTATTTACAGACCGCCGTCATATAGCTGGAATATTGCTGAGTGCGGCGTTAAACAACTAACCACCAACCACCACCACATTTGACAGATATGTACTGACACACAATGAAAACTCATAATCAAATTGAACTTGCTTATGATTAATCATTATTACTCATTCAACACCGTAGGCCCGTAATACCGGCCAAGAAGCATTCCCAGACACCGTAGGCCGGTATAGGCCCTACCGGCCAAGCCGTAGTCACGTCAAAATAGTATATAATTTTTTAAACCTACCAGTCATATCTTTCATTTACTAAATCTATCACATTTCACAATGTCTGAAATACGTATTCAATTTCAATTGATCATTTTTTATCAATAGATTAAGAAATTATTCACTATTTCCCGTAATGTTATTTAAAATAAAAATCTCAGACACGCACTTCGAAAACGGGTCCACATCGAACATGTCAAAGAGCATAATAAAGACGTTTCAAGCAAAGCTTTGAATATAGTATACAAAGTTATAGATACAATCAACAAAAATATATCTAAAAGTTGTTAAACTTACTGCCAAGTTATTATTTCCATCTTTTCGTGCGATCGCTTGTAATGTAAATCAAATGACATCGGCTTTCGTCGCCTAAATTCTCGGCTCGGACACGATGTTTAATGCCAAAATTATGCATGAAAAAACTTTGTCACAGCTCGTAACCTAGCATGATACATCAACAAAGCACCATATTTTTAATATAAATTGCGATTTCCTGCTTAAGATGTTCAGAATGGCAGGATAAACAAAAAGATTTCGTCAAAATCTAAAATTCATAACACAACTGTAATTTGATTGACTGCCTTAGATCACGTGCTCAAATTTGACCAATCACAAACCTTGTAGCAGATTTTGGCGCGAAAGCGTCATTAGAAACCAATTGTTATCCAATAAAATCGATTGTTATAACTACGAAAAACTCCAGGCGATGTTACGAGCGTGAAGATGAAAGAATAAGCTTTCTAGCGATGTGTCATATGCCAGTCTTCGACGAACGTGTTATTCATACGAAGCCTCGAAAACAGTGGTATTTCTTCATGTTACTGAGCGGACAGGCGCTGTTATCGGGAAATGGGTGATGACAGATACTATTGATAATTCTTTTTCAAAAGCTTTTTCAATAACGTAAACAATAAAAATAAAAAAGGAAATAGGTAAGTGCATTTTATGAAATCGTATATTTGCCGAAAATCGTCAAATTTTCGCTTCCTTGGTCCTTAATCTGGACGTTGTGACTGAACATAATTAAGTTGTAAATGCATTATTTAAATAATGTGATAAACAATACTTTCATATTTATAAACAATAGGATCAGACCTTTCAAATGGTGTATAATATAGAGTTGCAAAGATGTTTTACAAGCAGATATTTTCTTTGATAAATGTTGGTTTCATCTATCACACAGGAATCTCTGGTTACTGGGTGTCACAGCAGTAAACGCTTCTGGTTGACTGGTGTTGAAAGAGTTAAAACAACTAATATTGTCCATCTTTTTACCTGCGATGTCATTGTGATGAAACTGCACGAACAGCTCTTTGATAAACAATTACAAACTTACGTTACCACAAACACTGGACCCATATTATACATAAATACCTCTAACATTTCTTCCTGAACCTATGAGCTAAACGCACCCATGATGTCACTGAGTCTGGAGAATTGATACCACTAATATTTACTGCATGTTGGACTTTACCATTATGGTGCCTTAAACAGCTATTCTTGAGTCGAATAGCACAGCCAGTCAGACACAATATACAATTGTCTGTTTTGTCTGATGGTTCTGGTTTTTCCCTTTTTTTTACTTTGAATAAAGCTAAACTTTGTATGATTGTACTGTGATTCAATGTGGAGGAAAAAGAATCTTAAACAGTGGACAGAACTCAATAAGTTTTCTTCCACAATATATTGCAGTACATATTGCAATACAGAGGAATGTATCGCAATATATCGCAATACGAAATTTGGGGCAATACACAGCCCTAGTACTATTTTAACTGACACTTGCTGCAGACTTGGGGCCGAATAACAGGCTCTGAGCAAGTTTAGATAAATCCTTGATCCTCTTACAAAAGATCAGAGACCCTGTTATCTGCAGGTGCATTAATCTTTGACAGCAAACCCGGGGGTTTGCTGCACGTTATATAGGATTGATGGAAGAAACAATAGATGGATGTTCCAAACTTTTACCATGTCAGCTGTGCCAGTTAACCCACGGAATTTGAAGAGACGTCGTAGGAACCGGGGAACAATCATTTGTTCCCAAAGCAGACCTGGCCGTGATGTTTGAAGGTTGATTTAACTGTGAAGTCTGGACTGGTTTACTGTGCATCGTATCTGATTTCTTGAAGAACCATGACAAGGATTTTGGGAAACTTTTACATGACAATGAGTCGTGTTGAAGATAGGAATGGTTTAGCCATGAAGGAAATGTTCACTCAGGCTTCGCACACAGGAAGTAGATTTACAATCTGTATTTCCCTGAAGTAAGCCTCTTCTGGCTTGTTCAGACAGTTCATGTTTGCCTTGAAAATCATTGAAGAAGCACTGATATCTCCTTGCTAAATGAAGACATTTGATGTGTGCATGATTGTATTGGAGACATGACTATTTTTGTCCAGCAATGGTAGAGTTGGGGACGAAGGAGGATTTGCCTTTTTCTGAAGATTGATATCACCTTGGTGCTGAAGACGTATGATGTGTGCATTATTGATTGGAGACATGACTTTTTTTGTCCAGCAATGGTAGAGTTGGGGACGAAGGAGGATTTGGCTTTTTCTGAAGATTGATATCACCTTGGTGCTGAAGACGTTTGATGTGTGCATTATTGATTGGAGACATGACTGTTTTTGTATAGCAATGGTAGAGTTGTGGACGAAGGAGGTCTTGGCTTTTTCTGAAGATTGATATCTCCTTGCTCAATGAAGACGTTTGCTTTGTGCATTATTGTATTGGAGACATGACTGTTTTTGTCCAGCAATGGTAGAGTTGTGGACAAAGGAGGATTTGGCTTTTTCTGAAGATTGATATCACCTTGGTGCTGAAGATGTTTGATGTGTGCATTATTGATTGGAGACATGACTGTTTTTGTCCAGCAATGGTAGAGTTGTGGACGAAGGAGGACTTGGCTTTTTCTGAAGATTGATATCATCTTGGTGCTGAAGACGTTAGATTTGTGCATTATTGTATTGGAGACATGACTATTTTTGTCCAGCAATGGTAGACTTGGGGACAAAGGAGGACTTGGCTTTTTCTGAAGATTGATATCACCTTGATGCTGAAGACGTTTGATGTGTGCATTATTGTATTGGAGACATGACTATTTTTGTCCAGCAATGGTAGAGTTGGGGACGAAGGAGGATTTGGCTTTTTCTGAAGATAGATATCACCTTGGTGCTGAAGACGTTTGATGTGTGCATTATTGTATTGGAGACATGACTATTTTTTGCCCAGCAATGGTAGAGTTGGGGACGAAGGAGGACTTGGCTTTTTCTGAAGATTGATATCACCTTGATGCTGAAGACGTTTGATGTGTGCATTATTGTATTGGAGACATGACTATTTTTGTCCAGCAATGGTAGAGTTGGGGACGAAGGAGGATTTGGCTTTTTCTGAAGATAGATATCACCTTGGTGCTGAAGACATATGATGTGTGCATTATTGATTGGAGACATGACTATTTTTGTCCAGCAATGGTAGAGTTGGGGACGAAGGAGGACTTGGCTTTTTCTGAAGATTGATATCACCTTGGTGCTGAAGACGTATGATTTGTGCATGATTGTATTAGAGACATGACTGTTTTTGTCCAGCAATGGTAGAGTTGGGGACGAAGGAGGATTTGGCTTTTTCTGAAGATTGATATCACCTTGGTGCTGAAGATGTATGATTTGTGCATTATCGGTTGGAGACAGGACTATTTTTGTCCAGCAATGGTAGAGTTGGGGGTGAAGGAGGATTTGGCTTTTTCTGAAGATTGATATCACCTTGGTGCTGAAGACATTTGATGTGTGCATTATTGATTGGAGACAGGACTGTTTTTGTCAAGCAATGTTGAAGAGGACAAAGAAGGACATGGCTTGCGAAAACTTGGTGGCATCACTGATTTTCTGTGATACTTGTCATATAATTTTCACCACTAATCAAGACTACATATTCTTTGGCGTTGACGTTAAATATTTATCTGAAGATAGATATCACCTTGCTTCTGAAGTCTTTTGATGTGTGTGTTACTGAGTTGGAGACATGACAGCAATGGTGAAGATTTTGGGACAAAGGAGTACATGGCTTTATCTGAAGATTGATATTTCCTTGCTAACTGAAGACGTTTGATGTGTGCAATATTGTATTGGAAACAGTACTGTTTTTTCCAGCAGTTGTAGAGTTGGGGACAAAGGAGGATATGGCATTTTCTGAAGATTGATATCACCTTGGTGCTGAAGACGTTTGATGTGTGCATTATTGTATTGGAAAAATGACTGTTTTTGTCCAGCAATGGTGAAGTGTTTGGGACCAAGGAGGACATGGCCTTATCTCAAGATTAATATCACCTCGCTGCTGAAGACGCTTGATGAGTGCGTTACTGTATTGGAGACATGACAGCAATAGTGAAGAGTTGGGAACGAAGGAGGACATGGCTTTTTCTGAAGAAAGTTATCACCTTGCTTCTGAAGACGTTTGATGTGTGTGCTATTGTATAAGAGACAGGACTGTTTTGTCCAGCAGTTATAAGAATGATAGATTAACTGTAGTCATTTGAAAAAAATTGAGTTTTCCCTAAGTTCTTTTGATCAGTATGATTGGATGATTGGTTTTTGAAAATCATATATTTTTGTTTGAAAGTTTTGCTGATTGAGGATTAACAGTGTTTTTACAATTTTCTTTTGCATCGGAAGGGAAACTTTTGACGATTATTTATTGAAAGTCCAGCCAAAGATTTGCAAGCCGGGCACTAATATGTGGGAATGCAGCAGAAGAAGCCATGTTTCAAGCTTATATGTAAACAAAAAACACGTGACACCAAAACGTAACTTGATTGGCTGCGCTTCATCCAACTTGCCGAATGGCTAGAACAGACTTGAGTCCTATGACCTATGTTCATAGGTCCAAACCCCAGTTTGACCAGATGATGTTTGTAGGATTGTCAGCACAATACCAGTGATCATGGATATCACCAAAGTAGTACACGTCTAATACCTGCTTCACTCTGGTGTTCCTTCCACACAACTGTGTTCTAGTTCTGACTAGTACAAGCAGCCGCACATGTGCATGCAGGTCACTCTGTAAGTGCAATAAATCTTGAACTTGAGGTTAAACCCCATTTCACCATGCCCACATTACTGAACTCTTGTTCAAAGCGGCATTTATAATAGGCTATTTATATTGCACATATTTCCACACCACAAAGGGACATGCTCAAAGATATTACTACCTCGGTCACAGGATCAATGTGCACTCTAGAATCATTCTCAGCTCCCTGGGGAGTACACAACCCAAGCTGCCTGTTAGGCGCTAGGAGATTAACAACCACTTTGCCATATCATCCTACCAGGTACCCATTCACTGCTGGGTAAACAGAGGCACATTTTGAACAAAGTCACTTGTCCAAGGAGACGCCACATGTGGTACACGTGCTTCAGTGTGGGGCAGGACCAAAGCTCTAGAAACTCTCAGAAGCCAAGTTGCCAAAACATGGTCACCCATCCAAGGACACCCTGCGACCAAATTTTGCTCAACTTCACCTGATTTGTGACATGAGTGGTTGTGTGTATGCATGTAGCCGGAAAAAAATAATAGTCTTTGTTCTCCGGCACCACCTGTATCACAATAAAATTTGGCGGATGTTTAGTTTTTATTTCCAATTTATTTTTAAAAATCTTGAACACGACACCAGTGAAATGCTACAATATTTAAAAACAATGTGATCCAATGTTACTTCCGTCTACATCATGACATGTGCACTGGTTTACTGCGCATCAACTGTTATGATCAAGGCAGCAATAGCAGTTGTGTGCTTGTTTTTGCCTATAAAACATGACATGATGATATACAAATTCAATGGTATTTGTGTACTGTATGCCGGACAATGTTTGAGTTGCAAAGATTAAGATTACATGTTTATTTGTCTTGTGTAAAAAGCCGGAAATAACAATCAGCTGTTCACACATTTTCATCTATCTATCTATCTATCCATCCATCCATCCATCCATCCATCCATGGCCAATATCATAAATGAAAAGAAATTACAATGCAGTGATAGGAAGACTTGCTACCTCTAACGACAAATCCTCATTTCAAGGTGAATTCATGGTGGGTTGATTTGATTTGCCGATCAGGTCATGCACGATTTCGCCGAAATTAATGTAAACAAAATTAAATGAAATCTTGGAGAAAAGTACTATAATGGATTACAAACTTAAGTCCGGAACACAATGAACACTTTTATAACCAGATACAAATACGTGAAGCCCATTTCTGATGTCCCCCACTGTGATATTGCTTGAATATTACTAAAAGCAGCATAAAACCATACTCACTAACTCTACTTTGTAATATTGCAGTACAGTTTGGACAACTGATTGTCACTCAAAACAGATTATGAAATTAGAATGTGGTTGGTAAGTTTTTGATTCTCGTCGTCCTGTTATGATTTTACATGAGTTGCAGATATGGTTCAAGCCACCTTTGGATCATTGCAGTGCAATGTGTAATGTACTTACAGAAATTATCGACCCTTTATGATGACATCAGCTCTGAGGAGGAGGACCCTGGGCCAATGTTCCTCTGTAGTGTGGATCGCTGTGGCTTCCAGGGAACACAGCAGCAATTCCGTCGCCACTGGAAGGAAATCCATTTGAGTTTTTGCAACTTCCTCATCTGCGCGGTGTGTGACACAGGATGTGCAGACCGCAGGGGGATGAGAACCCACTTGATATATGGCCATGGTGTCACCGATGAAGGAGGAACCATGGATAATATCCTTGGGAATGTCAAGGTGGAGTCGAGACACAATCCTTATTATGTAGACCCTTGTTGTGATGAAAAAGAAGCTATGGTGGAGATTTTTGGAAAGAGTGATCCCACTGCACCAGAAAGTTACAATCCCTTCAAGGTGTACAAGTGTCCAGAAAAAGAATGTTCATTTGCTGCCTCATCGGCTTCTTTCTTGCAACATTGGAATTCGAAGCATCTCGAGTCGACCAATGTCCTGTCATGCCCTGTGTGCTCAATCCATTTTGTCCGGAAGATTAAGCTGATTGAACATTTCAGAATAGGCCATGGAATTCGTACTCATGGTGGTATGAGTGGACATACAGTTGCTGGTGCTGAGAGGATTAGTTCTGATGAAGATGAGGAGGAATTCAGAACCCCATCTGCCAAATTCATGTGCAAAGTGATGGCTTGTTATTTCCAGGGTCCGAAATCGGCTTTCCATCGTCACTGGCAAGAAAAACATGTATTGATGGAAAATTATTTTTGCTGCCCATACTGTAGCATTGGATGTAAGGATCAGCCCGAGATTCGATACCACATGATCACTGAACACAAAGTGAAGGATTATGACCCCATTCTGGATGATGCTTTAACTAGGACTTTCATCAGAGAAAGACATAATCCCGATTTCTTGGACCCAGGTAATGTTGAGCGTGAAGCAAAGATTGAAATTCAACTTGCCCGAAAACCTGTTCTAGATTCTGACCAGAAACAACCTTCTAGGTCAAAAAGTGTTGCTGGAACATCAAGAGAGAAAGAGTCTAGTAAGAAGACCACCTCTTCAATCAAGACTGACGAAAAGTCAAAACCAAAGTCAAAATCTAGTGATGGAAGAGCTCAAGACAAGAGAACTGAGTCAGCTAGTTCATCCAAAAACACCAAGCAAGCTGCATCATTTATCGATAAGCCTCCAGACTTTTTGATGATGAAGTACGATGCGCAGAAAGTGGATAGCATCAAGAAGTTCCTGGCATGGACAGACAGCCTGATGGAAAAGCTAGAGGAGTCTCATCATGAAGCTCGGAAGAAGTTGCAGGAGCTTGAGGAGAAGAAGAGCAAGTTGAAGGAGGTTGATGAGAAGAAGAGAAAGTTGAAAGAGGTTGAGAAGAGGGGCAAACCGAAGGATGTTGAGAAGAAGAGCAGTAGAACGAAAGAAGCTAATGGGAAGAAATAATGTTGGAATATTATGTTTGATTGTGCCTTATAATTTGGAACCAAGGAGAATTTATGGGTAGGGACTGCTATTGTGAATGAGTAGTTATGCAAATGTGTGAGAACTCAGCTGAAGAAAGATGACTGTGTTGGTTATATTATTGACTGACATTTCCAGTATGTGAACGGTGGGAACTTCTTGTTCTTTGTCCATACTGTTGAAAGAGAGGCCAGAGGAAGGTAAATGATGCCCGGGTTGGGGACAGGATGCAATACAGAGCTGTAGTGGGTTGATCCTGTGTGACATGAGTTTTTGAAGTTCGGATCAACATTTTGATCAGGTAAATGTAGGATATCATTCATTTGGATTGATGGACATCCTTGACAGATGATCATGAATAAACATGGACGAAGATCAACTCTCAAAACAGAGCCATGCTAAAGATTAGAAAGAGGTGATCCCACTGACCACATCACATCATCTCTTCAGAGAGCTGTTTAATAATAATATGTAAATCGTCACTCCCTCCCATCGGAACATGTCTACATTTACTTCCTTTGCAGATTCTTATAGTCAAGATGAAATAAGCAACATCATGTTCTGCAGGAATATCATGAAGCATTCTCCAGGACATTACACATGTTTGAAGTAACATAGTTTCTTTTGAAACTTATTTGGAGAAGGTGGACAAGACTGAGGAGAAGACATGTGTTTGGACAACTGTTGGATGATGATAGTGAACATAGTGTGTTGAACCTTTCTTTGTCAACCAAAGATGACCAGAAGAGCTGAAAAGGACACTCTGTTTTTGAGAAATAATGGTAACTGTAGAACATTTGACATCAGTGTTAATGTTTGGTAAGTGTACTTGTATCCAGACATAATTGAGCTGAATATTAATGTCGTAGCACAGGGACACTGCAGTGAAGTATATGATAGGTTTCGTCAGGAAATATAGGGGAAGTTTTGAAGCTGTCATGTCATGCACAGTATGAAGATTGCGAACTCAGAGATCAAAGTGGGGAGGCATCAAGTGGCTGGTAGACCTACAGTGTAATCCTAGTGGCTGGTCGCTCGCTCGCTCATGCAAGATGGTGCCAGGCCTGAGTGTTGGAAGATGTAGATGCCACATGTTCACATGAAGGTTGATCATTCAAGTCATACCAACATCCAGAAAGTGCATGTCTATAAGTGTGAGATTCGGGTCTTTCTTTCGTTGAGATCCAGCAGCCCTGTGCTGCTTTGTCTGTGTATGTCACTCTTTGAAGATTCTTGGAGCCTTGACGTGTATGTCAATCTTTGAAGATTCTTGGACCCTTGTCGTGTATGTCAATCTTTGAAGCTTCTTGGAGCCTCATCATGTTTGTTGGTCTGTAAAGATTCTTGGATCCTCGTCGAGTATGTAAATCTTTGAAGATTCTTGGATCCTCGTCGAGTATGGACCTTTGTCGAGTATGTCAATCTTTGAAGATTCTTGGAATCTCATCGTGTATGTCAATCTTTGAAGATTCTTGGAGCCTCATCATGTTTGTTGGTCTGTAAAGATTCTTGGATCCTCGTCAAGTATGTCAATCTCTGAAGATTCTTGGAGCATCGTTGTGTATGTCACTCTTTAAAGGTTCTTGGATCTTCGATTTGTGACGCTGTTCGTGTGTAATCTGTTTAGATCTACTATACCTTCATTACATAATGTTTTCCGAGATCCACCATTCAGATGACCGGACATGGTTACATGGTTGTGTTTGTAAGCTGTCCTATTGTGACACAAGTAGACTTTATGACTAAGTTTATGAAACTCAGTTTTACAATTACAATCTCAATCCTTAGCAACACCAGTATACTTACCGGGGTGGTGGGGTAGCCTAGTTGTTGAAGCATTGGCTCGTCACACCAAAGACCCGTGTTCAATTCCCCACATGGGTACAATGCGTGAAGCCCATTTGCCGGTGTCCCCTGTGGTGATATTGCTGGAATATTGCTAAAAGCGGCGTAAAACCATATTCACTCACTTGCCCAGTATATTTACCACACGTGAACATTATTGCCTTGTAATAAAACACTCCATGTAACTGCATCGATTATTGTATTTTAAAGTTTGACCTTCCTTGTTCTTCTTGGGACACAAGTATCCCAGGTATATCAAGAACCAAGATTCAGGTTGGGTCCCATAGCTCTGCCAGGATCCAATGGGGATCATTCGTATGTTTGCATCTGCCCTCCACACATGTCATCTGCGCCACTTGGGGCTGCCATTTCATTGAGCTGTCACACTGATATAACTGAAAGCCTGTTCAAAGCTGCATTAAACCTAAATCACTCACTCGCCTACTTGTCACATACAATGACAGTTATTTTAGAATTCTTGGTATTGTGGAAGTTGCTCCAGTGTCTACTTCGGAAACACTCATGTCACAAATGCCACACTTTTCAAGATGGTTGAGTGGTCCTGAATACAACGCTAATTTTAACATAAGAATTGGAGAGAAGTTTGATGTACAGAAGATTCGACTGGTGAATTTTAATGGAGAATCGGTATTGTGCCCATGAAGAGATTGATGTCCAGAATTTGTGTAGTTTGAAGTTGGTGGTTTCCAGTGTTTCCTCCTAAACTCCCGGAAGAGCAAGAAGAGAAGCAGGTCGGTTTTGGGTTGTTCTGTCAGTATTGACTTGCATGTGAGGATACCATATTTTGTGGAGAATTCATTCAAACCTTTCAATAAATCAGGGCCCCAGATAACTTTCTTGGCTATTACTAATATTTTATTTTCACATTCGGTATTTACAGTTTCCTTTTGGTGTTCTGTTGGAATTTATAAACCAATAACATAACACAATTAAACTTATATTAATTAAACTGCTGTTACAGATGGCAATTTAAGCATTATTCTCTGCAGCAGATTGGCAAATACAGACCCTTAAGAAATATAGGCACTCAAACTTTGAAGGGTAAATGCGCACATTGTTGTTATACCGTTGGGGTTTTGACATTTTTCATGTGTATTAGTACGGAAGCAACTCAAAATTAATTAGATAATGGCGATTTATTTTATCTGGAGCTCTGATCTCTCGTTCTGTGAAAGTCGTTCAGGTATCAATGAATTGTAAATTTGAGTGAATCGTGCCACCATGGGATGACAGCGGGCACCAGCTTTTCTAAATCCTACTACTCAGCTTTCAGAAATGAAAAGTGAGAAACCAAATCTATATGTATGATATTGAAGATATGAAATTGAAAGTACCTGGACCTTTTTCAATGAAGATCGGGGGATCGGAAACCTATGATTGAGAGTTCGAATCCCGGTTCGCCCAGATAATGTTTCTAGGTTTGTCAGCACCATACCCGTGCTCGTGGGTTTCATCGAAGTGGTAAACATCTGAGACTTGCATCACTTCAGGTTTTCCCCCCACATTAAGCTGACACGACGTGACACGACGTGATATGACTGGACTACTGTTTAAAGCGGCGTTAAACTCACTCACTCACTCACTCACTCACTCAGTTAACGATCATCATCATCATCAAATGTTAACGTTGACTTACAAGGGTGGTTAGGGTAAGATCGCTTTGTTGAACGGGACGGACATGACCGCGACATTGATGCAGAATGCGACCATTACATTATAAATAATCTGTCATTTATACTCCATCTCTTAAACAAGTACAGTATAACATGGCAGGAATATTCCATTGAATGTGAGCTGCCATAATTATGGTAGCTTCTAGTGACGTCTTTTATGACCGTTAGAGTATTTTACCATGGTTATTTGTTTTTTTGTTGAATTATATGTTATATTATGCGACCGTGATGCTTACGACAGATGTGAGAATGTTTCTGGTGTAAGTGGTTCATGACATGTGATGTCAAGTTGTATTGATGGCATTTGTGATGTCTTCTCCATGAGAAGTGTTAATTTCACACCTTCGTAATTAATGAAAAGATTTTATCGTTTGCACCTTCGATTAATTGTGCTAGTATTTTGGGTTGATGTTTCTTGCACTAGAGGACCAAGTGTGTTCAAGGAGTTAGTTGTTGTATTTTGTATATGGAAATAAAATCAAACTTAACTTAGTATTCAGACCACAAGGTTCTGTTTGGTGAGATTCTCAAGAAACAAAAATCGATTCAACTGGAACATTCATCAAAGTGTTCCCATTGTCAAAACGTTTCACTGCAAAAGTTTGTTTTATTTTCACGGGAATGCTATAGAAAGAATTTCATATTGGGCTATGATTCTTGATTAATGCGTCCCTTGTGGGGATTCTGGGTTAGAATGGGGTAAAACTTCCGTCCATAACCCCTGCGTCGATCTTCTTTTTTAAAAATCTTGTTTAAAAATCAGAACTCTTGACTAGAAGTACTAAAACATAATTTTTGTAGCATAAAGATTAGGTTGCCCTAACCCAGGCAAAATAGGACGCGGGGGTTACGGGCAGAATATTTTCAAGAATAGGTCCGCAGTGCACATACTTGTACTTAGAGCCAACTGAAAAGGAGATCGGGGGTCAGGCTCTGTGAGTGGGCATGAATCGATGCTCATGATTTCTATCACTGGTTTGCCTGGTCAAGATTTAAATAGCTGCAGCCCGCTGATATAACTGAATGTTTCCAGACATTATACTCAACAACTTTCACCCTGTCCATGTATAGTGATATTGTGATGAAGCCAAATGTGTAGCAAGTGTGCTCCTGTGGCATTTCAAGGCGGCATTGTTCTTTTTGTAATAGTTTTATGAAAAGTCTTTGGGGTATTGCATGCATTTCTTTTTTTTAAAAACAATTGTTTGTAACGTGTTTGGTCAAGTTTATCTTGAAATTTCCGAGGTGTTGTTCAGTTCTTGTTATTTAAACCCAGAAATGCATTGCATTTGTTGAAGCAAGTTTATCGCAATAATGGGAGGAAACAGTTTCACCGTCTCGATTCATCACAATTAGCTCGGCGACCATGTGGCCTGAATATAAAGTGCACTAACTTCCCGCGTTCACCAAATTCAGTATGCATTCGCATAGTAGTCAAAAACAGTGTCGGGTGTGAAACGGAATGAACCGATATTGTTTAAATATGCCGCTCTGTTGATGCATCATCGTTTTCTTGTAGAGATATTTTTGCAAGTGTGTTTTCGTAGGGTAAATATATATCAGGAATAAAAGATGTATTTTAATTGGCCAAAAGCCTTTTACCTAATATATTTTCCACATGAAAACTCTCTAATAATCTTTGTCGTGTAATCATGTCTTTCTTAAGATAATGGATGTTCGCTATTTGGTCATTGAAGTAACTTTGAAAACCGCGTAGAAATACATTGCCAAAGTGAACCGCCCCATTCATTGTATAGTGCCAAATGACGAACTGCCATTTTTGTTTACAAAGCACTCGCTCATCTGGAAACCTCTATTTAAACATTTAGGCAACATTTGTTTTAGCAAGTAAGTATCGCATCGATGTATAGACCTAACTTATAGTACTTCGTGCTTGGTGACCTCATTTGCATAAATGTCGGATCATGATGCCACGTTTGTCGGATTGGTTTATCGCATCGACTAAACCTTCTGGTATCCTATATTTGGGGGGCCGGGTAGCCTAGTGGTTAAAGCGTTCGCTCCTCACGCCGAAGACCTTGGTTCGATTCCCGACATGGGTACAATGTGTGAAGCCCATTTCTGGTGTCCCCCGCCGTGACATTGCTGGAATATTGCTAAAAGCGGCGTAAAACCATATTCACTCTCCCTCCCCTATATTTGATAAACATATGTTATCAACAGTATTTAACGGTTTAACCTTAGTAGGGGTAGGGTAGCAAGGTGGTTAAAGCGTTCGCTCTTCATGCCGAAGGCCCGGGTTCGATTCCCCACATGGGTACAATGTGTGATGCCCATGTCTGGTGTCCCCCGCCGTTATAATGGTGGAATATTGCTTTTAAAAACGGCGTCAAACCATACTCAGTCACTCAATTAACTTCATTGGGAAAGAGAAAAATGGGATCACAGCTCTAAATGTATTTCACGACTTGGCCTTATTTTCTATGTTTTTGGTCAGTGTGAAGAGAAATATCTGTGGAATTTGAAACTTCAACAAATATTGTGGTATAAATGCTCTTCTTTTTTTTCTTTTCTTTTTTTTTTTTTTTTGGGGGGGGGGGGGGGGGATATGGCATGATTCCAGTATGGTGTCTTGTAACTGTTTGAATAATTAATAAATGAAACAATTACTCAAGCTTGTCTTATTACTGATGTTTTTGTTTATCCCAAAGGATGGAAACACTCATGTATTATAATCGTTTCAGTGAATCTGTACAATTATAGACATTAGTCATTGATATGCCTCCAGTAAAATTAAGACTCAAATTCACTATTGTCTTTGAGAATGCTTCATTGCATTTAAGATGACTCATCAACCAATTCAAGTGGAAGAGCGTCTGAACTGAGCGGAAGGTCGAGGGTTCGTTGCCCAGCCGCGTCATGACAAAAGACGTTAAAAGATGGTACTTGTTCTTACCATGCCTTGCGCTCGGCATCAAGAGGCTAAAACAAGGACTGGTCGGCTCGGAGTCAGTATATTGTGTCTTAGTGGGGTCTTCATGTTCAACTGCGGCATGGTATTTCAGTCGGCTAGCACTATAAAACCAGCATTAGTCATGGACAAGGACAAGCAGGTACAAACACACACAGATGCATGTACGTCGCTATATGAGTGCAATAATCTTGAGCTCGACGTTAAACCCCATTTCACGTCACATTGTAAGAGGCGACTAAAGTGTGGATCGTGTGGTCATCCATCCTCAGTGAACTGGCGGCTCATTGTATGTCATGGCAATACAAATGATTTGGATCATTATCCATATTCTCTTAGAAACATACCCGTGAATATCCGGGGTAGAATAGGTCTTCAGCAACCCATGCTTGCCGTCAGAGGGCGACCAACGGGATCGAGCGGTCAGACTCGCTGACTTGGTTGATGCATGTCATCCTGTCCCAGTTGTGTGGATCGATGCTCATAATGTCAATCACCTGATCGTTTGATCCAGACTCGATTATTTCCATACGGCCATCATATAGCTGGAATATTGCAGTGTGGCGTTAAACAAAAAACAATCATAGAAGCCGATCCAGGTTTTTGAAATAAAATGGTGGTGCTCACAATGTTGGCTAATTGAACAGAATCACATGTTGGATGGGCTGACGACACGGATCTGGTTACTCCTGGTCGTACAATAGTTGAATCTGCTATAAAACATAAACTTCCAACACCATAGATACATGTTCTGTCAAGTTTTATTCCTTAAGGGTGAGTACTGTACAGGCCAAACACCAAACACGCTTCGATACCTGCCACCTGAAGGTGAGGGTTAGAATTGGTCGTCAATAACCCATGTCTGTACAACCAATGAGGCCGAGATTCGCTGACTTGGTTGATGCATGTCATCATATCCCAATGGCGTAGGTCAATACTCGTGATGTCAATCACTGGATTTTCTGGTCCTGACTCGAGTATTTCATACCGCCATTATATAGCTGGAATGTTGCAGAGTGCGGCATTACACAAAACACCAAACAAAGCTTGGACCCCAGCTGCAGACTGCAACTCGTTTTGAAGGGTGATGAAGACATGCAAGAAACGGGGAATCAGGCCCATGTGTCGTTGCTGTAGTTTTCTAGATCTATTGTTATCACCAGTGCCAGACATGCACCCACTACACACAATGTATCCAAAAAACTAGGATTCCTGTTGTTGAACTTAGGGGTAACAATCGTAAAAGACCGTTGTTTTCAGGCGATTTGAAAGGAAGTTGCTATGTTGAATGAAGCGCCCCGTAAATATAGCTGAGCACACGAGCGATGGTTTTTGCACTCACTCAGCAATATTCCAGCTTTATGACGGCGGTTGAGCGATGGTTTCAACAGATCATACTACACGGCTTTTTCAAAAGTTTATGTCTTGCATTGGTAAAGCTGACTTTACCAAACTGTATGTACACTCCACACCTCATGGGTGTTGGAACAGTTCACAGCAACCTGTGCCGGTCACAGTTGCGACCAAATGGAGTGAGTATGGTTTTACGCCGCTTTTAGCAATATTCCAGTAATATCACGGCGGGGGACACCAGAGATTTGCTTCACACATTGTACCTATGTCGGGAATTGAACCCGGGTCTTCGACGTGACGAGCGAACGCTTTAACTACTAGGCTACCCGACCGCCCCGCGACCATATGGATCAGGGTCAGGCTTGGTGTGCTCGTACCCCAACGACATGGATCGTGGTTCACAATGTCAATCACTGGATTGTCTGGTCCAGACTCGATTATTTACAGACCGCCGTCATATAGCTGGAATATTGCTGATTGCGACGTTAAACAACAAAAAATCACTCTAGTTAACAAAA